AATTTTTCTACAAACGTAGATCAAGCTATGGTCACTTATTCCAACATGCAATACTCCTGAGTGCGAAATCTTTTCAGGATTGTTTACAAGAGCGACATCCAAAAGAGAAGCTGTTTTTTCGGTAATTCGTGTAGGCTGGTCAATCAATCAATATTTCAGAACTACCCTCAGAGATATGAAAACCTAGTTTCACATTAATGGTCATTATTCTTTTTTCATATTCATGCAGTTCATATTAATTATATTTACCCATGCACGTGTTCCGTTTATTTACTGTAAGAGTAAATGTCGTGTGTTAACGATTTAAAACAGCAGTTTGCCCTTTACATACCTTTTAAGTTTTTAATTGGCGAGTTTGTATACCTTACTTGTATTAAAATTCGCGCAGTGCTAGAAGTCGCGCAGCGCTGGGTGCGCGAATTTTAGTACTGCGCGAAATATAATCCGCGCGAAAAGCTTTGTGGTGTAATATGAGACACTCATTGTTAGTAATGCAAATCAGTTGAGTTATTAACTGATTTGCATTACTATTTGCGTTATGTTATTATACTAGGCGAATGAGAACCAAAGAATAATTTTTTTAGTTCTTGTTGGTATTTTGAACTCACGCTTTATTAATTGTTATCATGAATTTTGCCTACATTACATAGTCCCTAATCGCTTTTTGAATTCAGGGCCGTAGCTAGGATATATAAGTTGCGGGGGCCATAAGATGCGTGTAGGCCAAAAATTTCCGAATGACGAAAAAAATTTCCGAACATTTCATGGCATACAAAGCCACGAATTAGGTGTTTGCTATCCGGAAAATGAAGACGCAATTTACCAACAAAAATACACATATTTTACGAACAGACATATCACAGAAGCATGCAGTGCTGTAGGAAGCTTTTTTTATTGGGGGGCTGAAAACGAGGCCTTTGGCCCGAGGAAATTTTTAAATTGAGAGTCTCTGAAATGCCATTTCCTGGACTTTAGGGAAGGTTTGACAAAATTCTGATTGTCAGAAAACAGCCTTTTAGTATATCGAAACTTTACAATTTGCTTACAGTTTAGTAGTACTAAATCGGGCGAAGGCGTATTTAATTAACCGTGATACATTGGAGAAGTCGCAGGAAAGTAGGATGATGCATGTATATAGCCGCTTAAAATTAATCAATTGTCAGTATTTTAAAGGTATATTATTCAAATGATAAAGGTCTGCATGATTTTGAAAAAAGAGTGATTATTAGCAAATTATAAGGAGGGCTGCATCCCCCCCCCAGCCCCCCTCCCAGATTGCTACGACCCCGAGAAGTAATAAACCGAAAAGCATTTACCGATTTACGATGTGTTAAATGTTTTCCATGTAAATGCCATGATTTCGCAAATCAGTTTATACTGACAATACAATTATGTTATATTTTCTTTGTTTAACTAACAACTAAAATTTTGTTATACTATTCAACTGCCGTAATTTTCCGAATGGCCAACCCGATTTTCCGAATATGTTAATTCTAAAAAAGTTGGGGGGGGGGGGGGGGTTAGCCACCCCCAATACCCCCCTCGCTACGGCCCTGGTTCTATTAAACAAACCGAAAAGAACGAACACGGAAAATTACTTGCGCGAATTTAAAGCTGCGCTCAGCAAGGTGCGCGAAATTAAATCGCGCGAATTTAAAGCTGAGCGAAAATGAATACGGCGCGAATTTTAATACATATTAACGTTTACAACAACAAAGCGCAGAGATGAGGACTCTGACGAGATTTGCGATAAATTTATCAATGGGAATAAAACAGAAATATTTTATATAAGAATGACATACCTATAGTTTATTGCTCTTACAAAGTTGTTTTTCTCGATTTCTGCTTAGAATATAAACACAATAACGGAATGATTTTTTCACCAGATTAAATTAAAAAATAGTTTCTGTTTAGCCTTAATTTTTTCAGGAAATGGCTGAGGAATTTGGTAAAATGAAATGTAAAACGTTTTCGTTCGAAATAAAGTTTTAATAACACTTTTCACTTTATAAGTTTCGAAAACACAATACAGTGGTCAGAACACCATGCAGCACAATGAAAACATGACAAATCTGTTGTGATTTGCATGTTCACGTCACATCCGGTTCCATAGCTATAAATACTTCATGTAATAATGTTCAAGATTGTTGTTGAATATAGTTTTTTGTACTTTTGTTTGTGTGATTTCTTGTCAATTTATCCGCCTAAATTTGAACCCAAACCTGCAACATGGTGTCAGGTGTGTTTGGAAAACACTAGCTTTGATTAGTGACACAGTTTATTACGCCAGGCCGGTGTTATTGTCGCTAAATCTGTGCTAAATTAGTTCGTCGAAACCCAAGATGGCAGGTCTTTCTGGTTTGCCGATACCAAGCATGGACTGGCATTCGCCTGATGCACCTCAAGCATTTACGAAATTCAAAGCCCCATGTCAGTTATACTTCAATGGTCCGTTAAAAGAAAAAACGGAGGAAGAACAAGTCAGCTACCTGCTAATTTGGTCTGGAGACGATGGCATTGAATTGTTCTCAACATGGGGACTTAGTGCAGGCGATAAGAAGAAACTCGATGTACACTGGACACGGTTCGAGCAGTACCTATCTCCAAAAAGCAACTTTCGCCTTTCCAGGTTCAAGCTACGAACAACGAAACAAGAGCCAGGTGAGACTGTTGATTCTTTTGTTAAAAGGATTAGAATACTTATTGATGAATGTCAATTTACAAACCCTGATGAACATGTCATAGACGCTCTTAGTTTTGGCTCGTCATCAAAACGTACACATTCAAAACGTTTGGAATATGATAAAATTCTGACCTTAGACCGTGCCTTAGAAATTGCCAGAACTGAGGAAGTTACAAATAACCAAATGAAAAGTATAAGTTCAACTCATATAGATGCCTTGAAGCATTCACGAAGGTCATATACCAAACCTCGGGGTCCACCCATTTGCATGTGTGGGAACTGTGGTACTGAGCATGATATTTCAGATAGATCTTTATGCCCTGCACATCGCACAATTTGCAAGGTATGTGGTAAGGAAAATCATTGGAAAAGAGTGTGTCGTTCGAAGTTAACGAAGAAGAACCCCTTCCGAAATAAAGACAACAGACTTAAAAGTCAAGATAAGCCGATAAACAAGCAAAAGCAGAATGATGTCATACAGACTGAGAATGCAGATTCCAGTGGCTCCCCAGCAACACCAGTGGTGGATCAGTTGTATTTTTATACCTTATCGATTAATCAGATGTCAAAGAGCAACACCCAAGCACTCGTCCAAGTACAGGTGAACTCATCTCAAGGTGCCAAGCCTTTGTGGTGCAAAGTGAATATCGGTGCAGAATTGAAGGTAATGTCATTTCTGTAGAAACATATAAGAAGCTGCATCCAACAGTATCATGTAATGCCAAAGGTGTACCCGTGAATTTAACACCTTCTAACACAGTTATTACTGCTTATGGTGGTCATTCTGTCCGCCATTTTGGAACTTGTGTTCTGCACTTGTCGCATGAACATCACTCTAAGCCTTATGTCTTTCATGTAGTAGACACTGTTGGACCTACAATTCTTGGGTTGCCAACATGTACTGATTTGAATCTGATTACCCTAAACTACAGTATTACCACTCAGTCAAAGGAACTACAACCATTGTGCCCCAAACCACCATCCACCAGAAATTCAGCTGCAAAAGAGAACCTTATCAAGCGTTATGGCGACTGCTTCGAAGGAATTGGGTGCTTCCGAGGAGAATTCCACATCACCTTGGATCCTTCAATACCCCCTGTGGTACACCCTCCACGCAGAGTTCCAGAAGCCTTAACGGAACCTCTAAAGAAGGAACTTGATTCCTTGGTTGAACAAGGAATTATTGCTAAGGTGGAACAACCTACAGATTGGGTCAACTCATTGGTTTCCTTCACGAAGAGTAATAGCAGTCTACGGCTGTGTTTGGACCCAAAGGATTTGAATCGTACAATTAAGCGCCCTCACCATTTTACTCCGACACTAGACGATGTTCTCTCTAAGTTGAATGGTGCAACATGTTTTTCTATTATCGACGCACGCAGTGGTTACTGGAACATTAAATTGGACCAACAAAGTTCACTCTACACAACCTTTAACTCCGCCCCACGGAAGATATAGATTTCTTCGCTTGCCATTTGGGTTGGTATGTGCACAAGATATCTTCCAACGAAAGGTCGACGAAACCTTCAGTGGTTTAACTGGTGTGACCGGAATCTCTGACGACATCATAGTGTATGGCTACAAGAGCGACCATAGTGACCATGATGAGAACCTGCATGCAGTCATGCAACGTGCCCGTGAAACTGGCCTGAAGTTCAACATAGAGAAATGCCAAATTAGATGCGAATCTATACCCTTCTTTGGTCATGTTGTTGGTGCAGATGGTCTTCGGCCTGACCAGAAGAAGGTTGAGGCTATTCGTTCCATGGATCCGTCAAACAATGTTGCTGACCTTCGAACATTTCTTGGTATGGTGCAATTCCTGAGTCGCTTCGTACCAGATTTGGCGACATTGGCAGCAGACCTATGGGCACTAACGAAGACCACTAGTGAATTTGTTTGGAGTCCTGAGCACGATGCCGCAGTGGACAGGATGAAGAAAGCAATCACCTCTCCAAAGTCCCTGCAACACTTCAATAGCTCAGAGCCTGTTACAATCCAAGTGGATGCATCGCAGGGCGGTATTGGAGCCGTTCTCCTCCAGGACAAAGGTCCAGTACGTAGAGTTTGCAAGCAAGCTTCTAACAGAGACGGAGGCTCGTTACTCTAATATTGAACGAGAGATGTTTGCTGTTCTTTTTGGTCTCGAGAAGTTTCACTATTATGTATATGGCAGACCTGTTGTAATTCATACCGATCACAAGCTCCTGGAGGCTATATTTAAGAAGCATCTTGCCAACGCACCGCCTCGCATTTCACGAATGATGCTTAGAATCCAGAAGTATGATGTGCAAATCAAGTATGTACCT